AAGAAACAAGACATCAAACCCACATGCAGCCCGCATGCAGCAGTGTGAGGCGGCCCTCCTCTCCCTTCCACCAATCAGTGTGTGTTTTCTTCCCTTATTTCACATGCAAGCACTAATTACTAGTAGCCAGTTTACAGCCCATCTATTATACCAGCAGGCTATTATGAAGGCTTCAAGTGACATGGCATTGGTATATAGCCAGCAACAGGCTTTGTTATTAACCATGCTATTAGGATGTTTTGCGGAATTTGAGAAGCCTTCATTGAAGGCATCCAAACGCGACGGGATTCTCAATGCGAAACACTCCACCCCGCTGCATTCCTATTGGCTGCTGGTGTGGTGCAGGGTAATGCATGCCAAATTATTTTTGTGCGTTGGTTAGAACTACGACATCGAGACAGCGTCATCAAGCACATCCCAGGACTGTTGTCAAAAGCAGATCAGAGTCAAATGCAGTATCAACGTTTTTACCATGATAAACCCAGACATGTTCAGGTTTCTCTCCTTCTGCCCCAAACTTCCGCACCCACTCACCACGATATACAGAACACACAGAAAGTAAACCGTGACAAGACAAGGGAATGGATACAATAACGTTCGCATATTCCGACAAAGTTGTTCTTCCATCTCAAATGTCGATTCGTTTGCCCACCCCAGCAAGGATAGATGTGCGGGTTCGTAGTGACGAGTGAAGAAGCCAAGGGCCTTGGTCACTCGCAAATGACCAATGGAGGCCGAGCTCATTGGAGCTCGGTTTCAAAATATAATTTTCTACACCATGAAAAAATTCAAAAATTATTATGAACATGTGTATACTGTGTATGTACAAATTTTCATAACAATTTACTTTCACTTCTGGCGTACAAAGAAAATACAAATATGTACCTGGGCCAACTTTTTTGTTGGGCCAGAATTTTTTTTTGTCTGGCATACAGATCACAATATTTTCAAATGATTTTCCACACATTCATGCGGAGAACATATAATTTTGGGAAACGTTTCCCTGCGGACGATCGGCCGAGCGCTCGGCCGGTCGCCCCTCGCTTGCTCGCTTTTCTACACGGAATCGGACTGGGCTTTGTGAGTTCGTGGGCCTTGAAGCGAGATGTCCCTTCTCTTATCTCTTCTGTGTAACTTTTTTTTCTTTTTTTTTCTTTGCTTTCTTCTTCCTTTTGCCTCATTGCGTCTTTTCTCTCTTTAGACACAGTGAGCTCGTCACTGGCACGACCTTATGCTACTTCTGCGAGCACCCTCTCCCAATGCTGCAAGCATCTCCTTCCCCATGCACCTCGAACTGCTCCCCCGCCAATGCTACAACCGGACATATCTTTTGCTCGAACCGGTGGCAATTTTTGCTGGAATCAGCGTTGCTTTTTGCTGCATGTGTGCTACAACCAGATCTGTCTGACAACAAAGCTGAAACCGGCACCTGAGAGAGCTACAATCGTCCATGAAAAAACTTCAATCGGATATGGTGGAAGCTGAGAGGCGGCTAGTGCTGCAACTATTGACAAAAAAGTTCAAGCATATACGGAAAAAGCTTCAATCAGGCATTGTGCAACGAAAAAAGTTGCAACCGTTGACAAAAAAACTTCAATCGTAGATGAGAAAAGCTTCAACCAGACAGGTGCAACAGAAAAAGTTGCAACCATTGATATGATCGAAAAAGCTTCTACTGTAGATGGGAGAAAATGATCTTGCCCAAGGATATGGGAGGAATGGGTTTTAGAGATATGAGATCCTTCAATCAGGCGCTACTCGCGAAGCAGGCATGGAGATTGCTTGATAGTCCGGACAGTTTATGCGCCCGGTTACTCCGGGCCAAATATTACCCCAATGGTAACTTGCTTGATACAGTCTTTCCTTCTAGTTCGTCGGCTGTGTGGAAGGGCATCATGCATGGGCTTGATCTGTTGAAAAGGGGGCTTATATGGCGTGTGGGTGATGGTTCGTTAATTAAGACTTGGCAGGATCCCTGGATTCCAAGGAAGCATGACTTCAAACCGATCACCCCAAAAAGAAATTGTAGACACAACTGGGTTGCGTATTTCTTGGATGAATCTGGTGCATGGAATATGCAAATGTTCAGACAATATTTCTGGGATATGGACATCCGCGAAATTGTGAAGATCCGGACGTCATCGAGACGGGGGCAGGATTTTTTGGCTTGGTTTCCAGAAAAGAGTGGTTTGTTCACTGTTAAGAGCGCTTATCACCTCGCAAGAGAATACCAATTGTCAAATTCGATGAGCGTGTCTAGCTCTAACCCAAGCGGACACAGGTCGATCTGGAGACGGGTGTGGGAGGCGCGGGTACCACTCAAGATGAGAATCATGGCGTGGAAAGTGGTGTCAGGAGCACTCACAACAAATTCTTGCAAGAAATATAGACACATATCCACGCGTGATACATGCCCGCTCTGTGGTTCAGAAAAGGAGACCAGCTTCCATGCGTTGGTTACTTGTGAGTATGCTCGGGCAATGTGGACGCAATTGCGTTCAGTTTGGAATCTCCCTGATCATCAACTGCTTCGAGATACAGGAAGGGAGTGGCTTCTGAATATTCTGATGAACTGCAATGATGATATGCGGGACTGCACTATAATGTTAATATGGAGGATATGGACATTGAGGTATGATATGGCGCATGGTAAAGATGTACCAAGTCCGACTGCTACGGCAGATTATCTGCAAAGCTATATGCAATCGTTACATTTGGCCAGGAGATACTCTACAGAGGATATCATAAAGGGGAAGATGCCAATGCTTGAGGATGAGTCGGCCAAGCCGCCCGGTACGGCAATGCAGTTACCATGGCCTCGTCCTGCGGATGGCCATGCGGCCTTATCGGTCGATGGATCGTTCTCACCATCGGATGGATCAGCAGCTGCAGGTATGATACTTAGAAGAGCTGATGGGTCTGTTATATTTGCAGCTTACCGGTGTATCTTCAACTGCAATGATGCTTTGGAGGCGGAACTACATGCAATAATGCAAGGGATGGCACTAGCAATCCAGCATTGCAACTTGCCGATCATTGTTCAATCTGATTCTGTCCAAGCTCTTTTGTCTCTGACCGGCGAAAGTCTGTCCCGGTCGGCTTATGGTCATTTAGTTGCTGAGATTCGTCTTCTTATGGGTGAAAGATAGTTTTTTCCTTTGAAAATTAAGCGAGAACAGAATAGGGTAGCAGATCGTTTGGCTATGTATAGTCGTACAGAGAGCACTACTGCTGTATGGCTTGGGCAGGGCCCTCCTTGTATTGAGGAGCTTTTGCCATTTGATTGTAACCCTATGAATATGAAATAAAACTCTTTTACCCTCGCAAAAAAAAAGCTGCAACCGATGAGGCAATGGAAAAAAGCTTCATAGGGGCTCGCGTTTCCATGAAAGTTGCAACCGGCGTCGGTGGGTGCTGCAACTGCCGAAGACCAATGCTACAACCGATGATGATGCTTCGGCCGGCCATGGTGAAGCTGCAACCATGCAATTGATAGCTACAACCTGGCATGAAAAAAGTTGTGACCAGCCAGCATGGAAGCTGCAACTGGCGGCAAAAAAAGCTACAACCGTCGAGCACGAAAGCTACAACTGGAAACAAAAAAGCTATCACCGACGAGCCCAGAAGGTACGATCGGCATGCAAAAAAGCTGCAACCGGCCCATGATTTTGTTGTAGCTAGCCCAGGCTGTTTACGAGAGCTTCTGCCTAGAGTTTCCTGACTCGAATCCACTTGATGCTAGCTCATCGTGCATGTGCTACTGTATATCAATTAAGCTGCCTGCCTACCTGCTTGCAAGTTAGCTTTGCACATAGGATGTACACTCCGACGATTTGATCCAAGTGCGGGCGGCGCGTTCGACCGACGAACTGTGCGGGAGACGTGGAAATCTAACGACGCACAGGGTTTTAATCCAACGTGCTCGCTGACCGGCCGAAGTTTGGGCCGGTCCGCCGGCGCTTATCGTTGCCCTATAACTTTCCATTGGTTTTTCATTTTTATTTTTTTTGAAACTTTTAGATATGATTCTCGATTTGTTTTGAAAAAACAGTCACCCTTATCACTGCACAACATGGAAACTGTGACAGTTTCAGGGATGCACTGGGCAAGATAGGGTTCCCAGCAACGAGCCGAGAATGGCCATGCCACAGTACGTTACGAGGAAACCACGTTACCGTGCCGCCTTTTTACATGGGACACAGAACAATGAACTGAAGTTGGATGTCGTGCCGTTGTATCAACTTACAACAACGGATTTCCTTCAGACTGCAATGGTACACAGCCAATAACTCTTTTTTCCAGATTAACACCGTCAATAAACGGTCAGTGGAATGCTGATAAGAGGAAGCTGTACTTGATCACTCCAATGTTGTTTATGCTACACAGATTCAACATTACTGGATTCTTGTTCAGAAGCACTTCATATGAATCAAAGCAAATCTGAACATAAATTTTGAAACAGAGGGAGCACACGTTTGAAATGTAAAGCCAGAAACATATACTACAAACAATCCTAAGTAGACCAAGAACAAGCAGAACGAACTCAGGCATAAGGGCATGTACAATGGTTGATAAGATAGTTTTATCTTAAGTTTTACATGTAATTTAGAGATGACAAAGAAAAATGTCTACAATGGGTCATCTCTTAATCTTATCTTCAATAATTAGCAATTCCTAAAAATATGGTGAGATATATTATGCTAAGAGATCATCTCTTGTCTTATCTTAAATAAGAGAAGACAAGCCTTCTCTTATGAGTTCTCTCTCCTCCACCTCATCATTTATCCTACGTGGCACTCTTAAGATAGCACCATTGTACATGCCCTAAAGAACATTTTACTTGTCTCATGGATCTGACGAGAGTAGTTGACACTTGACACAAAGGCAAAACAAATGCTCCATAGCCCATAGAGTTCATACCCAGAAATTAACGAGATAATACATTGTTCGAGTGGGAAGTTCTGGCACAACACTCTGAACATAACAGGGGTATCATCAGCTTAGAAGAGAGAGGTTCCCTTGCCCTTCTTGTCTCCACCGATTTCGAAGTGCTTGCACCTCTGTAGCAAAGGCACGATTCTAGCGTCAGTTATTTGAACACAACAGAATATAGCAAGGAGATGGGATGGCAGATTGAGTGAGATGACCAGACCTTGATGGCGCGTTGCGAGTAATGCTTGCAGCTCTGGCACTGCAGCTTCAGCACAATCTTCTTTGTTGTCTTGGCCTGAAACAAACAATAATGAATATGGAGATGCAAAAGAAGCAACAGAGGAGCAGTAGCTAGCATTATCAAGCAAAGAAGATATGGCCGCCACGGAAATTAGTGCCATACCTTCTTGTGGAAAACAGGCTTTGTCTGGCCACCATATCCTGACTGCTTGCGGTCATAACGACGCTTGCCCTGAGCAGAAAGACTATCCTTGCCTTTCTTGTATTGTGTAACCTTGTGGAGGGTGTGCTTCTTGCACTCCTTGTTCTTGCAGTAGGTCTTCTTGGTCTTTGGAACGTTCACCTACAAATGGTTATGGAATAAACAGCCAGGGATTTTACCACGTCAGATAAGCAAATAGAACTTCATTGCTGAAATAATATGAACATGTTTGCCAGTTCAATAAGCCAAGAAGTAAGATATCTTTGTTTCCAAGGAATTTTACAGTAACTTTCTAGGAATAGTGAGAAGTTTATATTCCCGCAGGGGTGAGGATAATTCCAGGTGAATCAAAGAGGGTTCAAAAATAGAGAGCAGAATTTTCAACTTCCAGTCATACACATAATAAGATAAACTCAAGTCAAAGATGCTTAAAACAATATAGTGAACTAGAAGGCACCATGCTGGCCAAAAAGGAGAGTAACATTACAAACTTCAAAACAGAAGACATTGAGTTAACTCACAAAGATTATGACAGCCCAGACTCTAGGTTTATAACATTTCAACAACAGGTTCAGATTTTGCAATTATAAAAGTAAAGTTTTCAATGCAGCAATTGTGTCCTATTCTACAAGTACTCCACACAGCAGCGAGATTTGATCTTTGGCAGACCACCAAGCAGATTAAATTGCGCTCATGCTCCTTATGAGTCCAAAACAAACAAATCAAAACCTATGCCAGCACAAAATGTGTTGAAAGAATTCCAGTGCAACTTCTCTACTGGATAAAAAAGGGTAAAAGATCTTCTTGGAGGCTCATATCAAGTGTATATTTAAGAAACCTTCACCGCAACAGGAAGCCCAACAGAGATGACAATCCAAGCACGTGCCAACCCTTGCCAAAGCAGCTGCAGCACGACAAGCAACACAGGGACAGGGTTGTGAATGTGGAACACCAGATGCCAGGCCCCACGCGACCGTTCAATTCAGATCTCTCTCTCTCTCTCCCTATCTCTGAAACAGATACACACACACACACCACAAGAACCGAACAGCCCCTCGTCAGGCGGCACCTCATGTTCCACTTCCATCCCCAACCGGCAAGAGCTGCTCGTCGCGGTGCTGTAATGGGGGCACCCGCAAGATCAGATGTTCCGCTAGGACTTCCCAGAATCAAGCCGCTCAAGCCACTCTTTTGTAATCACAGCCCCCGACCAAGTACAATCAAACAAAGCCAAGCTAGGCATCGCGCGAGCTACATAGTTATGCACATAATAAAAAAAACTCAAGTTCATGATGCTTGAATAGTGAACTAGAAAGGTACCCTGCTGGATAAAAAGGAGAGTAACATTACAGAACATGCCGCGTTAGCTCACAACAATTATGCCAGTCCAGACTCCAGTGAGGGAGCCAGCATCCAGGTTGATCACATTTCAACTATAGGTTCAAATTTTGCGATTGTAGAAATGAAGTTCAGTGTAGCAGTTGTGTAGCGTATTCAAAAAGTACTCCACACAGCAGCGAGATTTGATTATTGGCACCTCACCGAGCAGGTTAAACTGCACTCATGCTCCTTATGAGTCCAAAACAAACCAATCAAAACCTATGTGAATACCAAATGTGATGGAAGAATCCCACTTCAACTGTTTATACTGAATAAAAAAAGTAAAAGACCTTCTTGGAGGCTCATATCAAGTGTACGTTTAATAACCTTCACCGCGGCAGGAAACCAGTGGAGACGGCGATCCAAGCGCACGCCTACCCCTGCCAACACACCAGCAGCACTACGAGCAACACAAGCACGGGGTTTTGAACATGGAACACCAGATGCCAAGCCCCACGCGACCATTCAATCCAAACATCTTCCTCTCTCTCCCTGTCTGAAACAGATACACACACACACAACACAACTGAACAGCCCGTCGTCAGGCGGCACCTCGTGTTCCACTTCCATCCCAACCAGCTAAGAGCTGCTCGTCGCCGTGCTGTAATGGGGGGGCACGGCAAGATCTGCCGTTCGCTAGGGTTTCCCACAATCAAGCCGCTCGGGCCACTATTTTGTAATCACAGCCCCCGGCCAAGTACGAACAAACAAAGGTAATCATCAGGGGAACTGGCCAAACAGGAGAGTAACATTACAAACTTTGAAACAAAACACAATGAGTTAACCCACAATAATTATGCCAGTTCAGACTCCAGGGAGGGAGACAGACTCTAGGTCAGTCACATTTCAACTATAGGCTCAAATTTCTACAATTACAAAAATGAAGTTGTCTATGCAGCAATTGTGTAGCGTATTCTAAAAGTACCCCACACAGCAGCAAGATTTGACCTTTGGCATGTCACCAAGCAGGTTAAACTGCAATCATGCTCCTTATGAGTCCAAAACAAACCAATCAAAACCTATGCGAGTACCAAATGTGTTGGAAGAATCCCAATTCAACAGTTTATACTGAATAAAAAAGGTAAAAGACATTCTTGGAGGCTCATATCAAGTGTATGTTAAGAAACCTTCACCGCGGCAGGAAACCCAACGGAGACGGCGATCCAAGCGCGCGCCAACCCCGCCAAAGCAGCTGCGGCACGACGAGCAGCACGGGCACGGGGTTTTGGATGTGGAACACCAGATGCCAAGCCCCACGCGACCGTTCAATCCAAACATCTCTCCCTCTCTCCCCCTCTGTCAGAAACAGATACAGTGATACAGACGCGCACACACACACACACCACAAGAACCGAACAGCCGGTCGTCAGGCGGCACCCCGTGTTCCACTTCCATCCCCAACCAGCTAAGAGCTGCTCGTCGCGCTGCTGTAATGGGGGCACACGGCGAGATCTGCCGTCCCGCTAGGGTTTCCCAGAATCAAGCCGCTCGAGCCACTCTTTTGTAATCACAGCCCCAGACAAAGTACGAGCGAACAAAGCTAATCGAAGGCATCGCGCAACGGCTGCGGCGGGTCTTCGGGGAGGAGCGAGCAGGATAGCATCAGGGGATTTTGGCAGTGGGAGAGGAGGGCGTTACCATGGTCGCCGCCTGGAAGCTCTCCTCCGCGCGTCTGCTTCTTCTCCTGCGGCGGTGAGGAAAAGGGGAAGGGGGAGAATGGCGGCGCTTGGGTGAAATATCAGCGCAGCAAAACCCTAGGGACGGCAGGTGTAGTAGCTTCGGGAATATGGGCTTGCGGGCTCGGGGCTTTGGGCTGCGTGTAAGCCGGGTAAGCAATGCACGTGTATTTGGGCCGCAGGATCGCTTTCTCATCCAACTCCACGTGCAATGCTATGGTTCGCTCTCTCCTAATCTCTCCTGCTAAGGGGATAAAAACATCTACGACAAATATGACCCACCCCTATATGTACATGGCCATGCCCCCAATTTGCCATCACGTGCATATTTGGTTAGGGTGAAGAACGAGAGAGAGAAAAAAAAGAATAAAAAAATAAATAAAGTGGTCTGAGGTGGTCCGTGTTCAATATAGCGGACTGCCTGGACACCCGCATTTCTTTTTCATATATGAAGAGTTTGAGTTTTCGCAAACAACCAAAACATATGAGGATGGCCTTTTTCCTTCTCTCATGTCTAGATTGTCCGTCCAAATAAATGAGCACAAAGTAATGGGGGTCCAATTGGGTGGCCTTTTTTCTTCTCTCTTGTCTGAATTGTTCATCCAAACAAATGGGGACAAAGTAATGGGGGTCCAATTGTAGATGCTCTAAGTGCGGCAATATGATAGAGGCCAAGGTGTTCCGTCTTTCGATGAGATGGTGGCTTTTGTTTTGGTGGAAGTCAACTTTGACGATCCGACTACGAACGTGCGAGGACGCCGCGCCTTAGCAATCGCTAAACCAACTCCGAGAGGTTATTGACCACGCCGGAGCACAATCAACCTGACCACGAAGGTCTATTTCCTGCAGGCAAACGAAGAACAAGCAAGAAACTAAGATTGCAATCTGAATATTGCGAATATAAGAGGAAAGCTTTATTGATCAAGGTGGGGTTCTGTGACGCCTTTGTCTGGTCGTTGAACACAAACGAAGTACGCGAAGTTGCAGCTATGGCGAACTTTAGTCTAAACAAAACCCAAAGTCTAAACGGTGCCCTAAGGGCTCTATATATGGAGGAAGAGGGGGTGAATTTTGTGGCCCTTGGTGGAGGCGTCCGAAACTAACCCTATCTCTTGTTTCCCCACACATACGGACTCTAAAAATAGCCTATACTTATGTATTTCGAAATTACATGGGCCTAGCCCAATAATAAAGTGACGCAGCACCTAGAATAGCCTCTGGATGAAATTTCTGAAGTGGCATCTTGTATATTTGTCCAAGGCTTCATGCACTCATTATGGTGGCTTCAAAGTCCTGAAATCATCACTTGTAACTCTGTTCTGGTTCCCCTTGCGCATGCCATCATCTCCATGCTTGTTCTTGCTCCAATGTTCATCCTTCTCCAAGCTAGGCCCTTCATTTGTAAGCAAAACAAATGTATCCAATTTAGGCAGCATCATATTCTCATGAACATTAGAATCATTACCAAGAAACGAAAGTACCTGATAATTTATTTGGTGTGCGCGAGCTCTAGTAATTGGTCCAGTATATGCAGCAGTAGGGGCTGTGGGTAACCCTTCTTAAAATGAAGTCGTCCTCGACGGAAGCTCATCTTCCTCACCCAAATAAGGCTTCAAATCTGCAATGTTAAAAGTGGGACTAACCCCAAAATCTGCAGGCAGCTCAAGTTTATATGCATTATCATTTATTTTCTCCAACACCTTAAAAGGACCATCAGCACGTGGCATTAACTTTGATTTGCGCAAATCAGAAAATCTATCCTTACGCAAATGTAACCAAACAAGATCTCCAGGTGCAAACACAACATGTTTTCTACCTTTATCTCCAGCAAGTTTATATTTCACATTCATACGCTCAATGTTTTCCTTAGTTAACTCATGCATTTTGAAAATCAATTTAGCACGTTGTTTAGCATCAAAATTAACCTTCTCCGAAGATGGAAGAGGCAACAAATCAATAGGTGCACGAGGTAGAACCCATACACAATTTCAAAAGGGCACATCTTAGTAGTAGAATGCAATGAACGATTATAAGCAAATTCAATATGAGGCAAGCATTCTTCCCACATTTTCTTATTATTCTTCAAAACAGCCCTAAGCATAGTAAACAATGTTCTATTGACTATTTCAGTTTGTCCATCAGTTTGTGGGTGACAAGTAGTACTAAAAAGCAGTTTAGTCCTCAACTTAGCCCATAAACATCTCCAAAAGTGGCTAAGAAATTTAGTATCACGACCTGAAACAATAGTATTGGGCACACCATGCAAGCGAATAATTTCACAAAAAAACAAATCAGCAACATTAACGACATCATCGCTTTTATGACATGGTATAAAGTGTGCCATTTTCGAGAATCTATCCACGACAACAAATATGCTATCCCTCCCCTTCTTTGTTCGAGGTAAACCTAAAACAAAGTCCATAGATATATCCTCCCAAGGAACACTAGGTATATGCAAAGGCATATATAAACCATGAGGATTGAGTCGTGACTTAGCTTTTTGACATGTAGTGCAGCGAGCAATAAAACGATCAACATCTCGTCTCATCTTTGGCCAAAAGAAATGTGTAGCAAGTACGTCCTCCGTCTTCTTCACGCCAAAGTGTCCCATTAATCCCCCTCCATGCGCCTCCTGCAACAACAAAAGACAAATAGAGCTAGCTGGAATGCATAGCTTGTTAGCACGAAACACAAATCCATCATTAATGACAAACTTGTTCCATGTTCTCCCTTCTTTACAATTCTGCAATACATCTTTAAAATCAGCATCATGCACATATTGATCTTTGATGGTCTCCAAACCAAATATTTTGAAGTCAAGTTGTGAAAGCATAGTATAGCGACGAGACAATGCATCAGCAATAACATTCTCTTTACCCTTCTTGTGTTTAATAACATAAGGGAAAGTCTCAATGAATTCAACCCATTTAGCATGTCTACGATTCAGTTTAGCTTGACTTTTAATATGTTTCAAGGATTCATGATCAGAATGTATAACAAATTCTTTGGGCCATAAATAATGTTTCCATGTCTCTAAAGTCCGAACAAGAGCATATAATTCTTTATCATAAGTAGAATAATTCAGACTAGGCCCACTCAATTTTTAAGAAAAATATGCAACAGGTTTGCCATCTTGTAATAACACACCTCCTAATCTAATTCCACTAGCATCACATTCAAGCTCAAAAGTCTTATTAAAATCAGGAAGTTGGAGTAAAGGAGCATGTGTCAACTTATCTTTCAATACCGTGAAGGCTTCTTCCTGTGCGGTACCCCAAACAAAAGGCACATCCTTCTTTGTAAGCTCATTGAGAGGTGCAGCAATGGTGCTGAAATCTCTCACAAAACGCCTATAGAATCCAGCAAGGTCAAGAAAACTCCTCACTTGTGTGACCGTTTTGGGTTGCGGCCAACTCTCAATAGCTTCAATCTTGGCTTTACCAACTTCAATTCCCTGTGGAGTAACAACATAGCCAAGAACGTGCAAAAGGTGCACTTCCCAAGGTTACCAAACAAACGTGCATCACATAGAGCAATAAAAACAGCACGTAAATGTTCCAAATGTTCCTCCAAAGTTCTGCTATAAATCAATATGTCATCAAAGTAAACTACCACAAATCGTCCAATGAAAGCACGTAAAACTTCGTTCATTAATCTCATGAAAGTACTAGGTGCATTAGTTAACCCAAAAGGCATGACTAACCACTCATATAATCCAAACTTAGTTTTAAATGCTATTTTCCATTCATCCCCCAATTTCATATGAATTTGATGGTATCCACTACGCAAATCAACTTTGGAGAATATTGTAGAGCCACTCAATTCATCAAGCATATCATCTAGCCTAGGAATAGGATGACGATAACGAATAGTAATATTATTAATGCCTCTACAATCAACACACATACGCGATGTACCATCCTTTTTCGGCACTAAAATAATAGGAACAACACAAGGACTAAGGGATTCGCGTATATAACCTTTGTCGAGAAGCTCTTGTACTTAACACATAATCTCCTTCGTCTCCTCTGGATTGGTACGGTATGGTGCACGGTTGGGTAGCGATGCACCGGGAATTAAGTCAATTTGATGTTCAATCCCTCGAATAGGTGGTAATCCCGGTGGCACGTCTTGTGGGAAGACGTCAGCGAACTCCTGCAAAATGTTAGTGACAGCAGGGGGCAAAGAGGAAGGCACGTCCTCGAAGGAAAATAATGCCTCTTTGCACACAAAAGCATAGCAAACAGATTTGCTAAAATCTAGCTCATCATATCAGATTTAGTGGCAAGTAAACATGCACTTTTCAATTTAATTTCAGAAGCAACACTAGATGGTTTATTATTAGGCTTCATTTGTTGCTCAAATTCTTTTGCCACAATCTGATTTTCACTCTTATTCTTCTCCTGTTTTGCTTTATTAGCTCTATTAATACCATCTTTCAAAATGGAATCAGGAGTCATAGGAAGCAAAGTAATATTTTTATCCTTATGAACAAGAGTATACTGATTGTTTCTACCATGATGGACAGAATTTTTATCAAATTGCCATGGTTGACCAAATAATAAGGAACATGATTGCATAGGTACCACATCACAATCAACATAATCAGCATATGTAGAGATACTAAAATGCACACGAACAGTACGTGTTACCTTAACCTTGTCGCTGTTGTTGAACCATTGGATGTAGTAAGGATGTGGATGTGGTCTTGTGGTGAGAGATAGCTTCTCCACCATCTCCATTCTAGCCAAGTTGTTGCAGCTCCCTCCGTCTATGATAACACGCACAGAACGCTCCTTCACAACTCCCTTTATATGGAACAAATTATGCCTCTGATTTTGCTCAGCTTGTGTGACCTGCACACTCAAAACACGTTGAGCAACTAAACATTCATACATGTCAGCGTCTTCGGGAGCCATGTATTGCGTCTCATGATCAGAATCATATCCACCATGTTCTTCACGT